AAATATTATAGTATTTTAATTATTTTTCTTGTAAATTTTAAAATTGAGTAAATGGTTCGGAGAGGCCTCAGCATTGCCGAAGCAATGAGAGTTTCCTTTTTTTCCCCAGTTCTTTTTTTAGGGGGGTGTAGAGTAGCAGGCCTCCCCGTGGTGCACCCTGGGTTATGCTAAATATGCTACAGAGATCAGATTCTACTATTTTTAAATCATAGACAAAGTATTTTACTGCAATACGTGCTTACACAGCAATGCTCACCTATCGCAGCTCGTGCGGCTCAGTGTGTCCTTCGGACACACCCACAAAATGGAAACGGTTTGTGCAATCTTTGTAAAATTATACCTGCATACTCTCCTAGGCCTAAATAGACTGCCTAAAAATTTTGTTGGTAAAATTCCAACTTTAAAAAGTAGCATGCCGCAAAGGATTAACATATATATACAGGGTGTACCATAAATGTTGCAACAAACTTCTAGGTGAGGTAAGGCACATTATAAGGATTAAGAATTACATAAGAACTTATACCTGGAAATGTCAGGGGAAAGTGGTAGCAGAGGGAGATGATGGGAAAAGAAGCAAGAGTGATTATTTTGAAACATTTGTTGGACATGAATACAAATGGTGTACATGTACGACAGCATGAATGTTACAACAGATGCTCGAAGTTTGCACCATCACACGCCAAACATGCCTGACACCAACGGAGCATTTGAATGTCGTGAATTATTTGATCTTTCTGGAGCAGGTTCTTCCTGATTTTCTTGACCATGCTCCACCAAATGCAAGGTGCAACATGTGATTTCCAACATGATGGGACACCTGCTCATTTTGGACTGGATGTTCACAGCCATTTGAACAGATCATTCCCGTGCCGATGGATTGGTCGTGGTGAACCAGTTTCCTGGTCCCCCACGTTCACAGGATTTATCGAGCCTTGATTTCTTTTTGTGGGAAGATCAAACTGCAAAGTATCAAAAGTATTGAGTATCATCACGATCCTGTTGTGTCTGAAATGGATCTCATGGTAAGACTCGCCTACAATCAAAGAAACTCTGGGTGTGTTTGAACATGTCCGGCAATAAATGGTTCATCGGTGTCAGGCATGTTTGGCATCTGATGGTGCAAACTTAGAGCATCTATTGTAACATTCAAGCTGTCATACACCATTTGGATTCATGTCCAATAAATGTTTCAAATTATTCCCTCTATTTTCTTTTCCACTTCACCTTGTACCACATACATTGAATTTCCGGGATGGGTTCCTATGCAATGTTAATCTATGATGTGCCTACCTCCCGAGAGTTTGTCAAACATTTACAGTACACCATGTATAACAGGCACGCCAAAATTGTGGACACTTTTGGAAATTTTTATGTTTTTGAACTTTGTATGCTTATAGAAAACGTTGTTTCACAAAATGCAAACTTGTATATATCATTTTAAAGAGAATTTATTACTGAATCATACAAAACACAAAATTCAAATTATTTGCAATACAAAAAAAGTTAAACGATAATAGTTATCGATATACATTAGATAGTGATGATTGCAGTGAGTTATCAGTACTTAGTAGGGTTACCCTTATTTTTATTACAGCTTCACATCGACGTTTCATTGAGATGACAAGAGTTTTAAGCTCTTCTTTCGTTATTACATGATGCCAGGAAACAATTATAGCCTCAATTAGTTCCCTTTTATTTGATGGGCGCCTCATTCGGACAAGAGTTTTCAAACATGCCACAAATTTTCGATAGGATTGAGGTCAGGACTGTTTCCTGGCCATGACAACAATTTAATGCTCTTTGTACGAAACCACTCTTTCGATATTTTGGCCGTGTGGCAAGGAGCAGAATCCTGCTGTGAAAAATAAACGAAGCATGTTGGGAAAGAGATCTCTGATGGAAGGTAGAAGTTTGGTTCTAGAATAGTGTCAATGTATTTCTGGCATTCAGTGTCCCATCGATGACATGAAGGCGACCAATACCATCTGCTGACATGCATGACCAAATCATAACACTAACTGGGTTCTTCACAGTGCTTGAATGCAGTCAGGATGTAGCTCTTCTCCTATTCTACGTCTACATATTTTCGCCCATCACTACCGAATAACGAATATCCTTAGTTTCATCACTCCATATAACTTGTGACCACTGATCATCTGTCCAATTAATGTGTTCCTTTGCCCACTGTAGGTCTTTTTTTTCGTTGCTGAAAATTAAGATAAGGCTTTTTTCGTGGAATTCTACCTCTCAGTCCAACATCTGTTAATATTCTCTGATTGTTCTTGAACTGACAGAAACACAGCATCATTCAGATCACTTCTGATGGCCGCTGATGACATTTTTCTATCTTGGAGACATAGTCTTTTAATTCTTTCTGTCATCAATAGATGTGGTGCACCTTTTTCGGCCTTTTCCTTCTTTGTTTTTTATTGAATTTGTCTCCCTGATATCGTAAACAAAACTTTCGGACTCCAGATGTAGTCACTGAACCACCCACCTGTCTTGGCAATTTCAGCATAGGAAAACCACTTTCTAGTAACACAATAATATTACATTTCTTTCTAGGTGTCCAATCTACTCTTTTATTTGATGTCATTGCTTCTTGACTAAATATTAAAATTTTTTTACAAAAATTCCTACTTGTAATTGCAGTGTATAAGAAACAGGTCCTCCTTTACAAGAAAAAAGCAAATAATGAATTGTTTCAAGTGTAAACATGATGTCAGCTTCTACTGGCAGTTACTAACATTTGATTGGTTCTCAGAACAAGAACAGTGATTGGCCAGGAAAGCTAGACATTACAAACCAACTTCATAACTGTGTTTTTATTTATGTTAAAGTACATATAACTTTTTTGTATTGCAAATAATTGAATTGTTGTTTTTTATTGAATTCAGTAATAAATTCTCTTTAAAATGATATATACAAGTTTACATTTTGCGAAACGTAACTTTTCTATAAGCATACAAAGTTCAAAAACAGAAAAATTTCCAAAAGTGTCCACAATTTTGGCCACGACTGTATATGTACATAGAGAGAGATAGACACATACTTACACAAAGACATTTGATAATTTTTTACTTATCCTTTATACAGATACATATGCATGAACTTTAAAATGTGTCCAAAGAATTTAGGCAGTATATAGGAAGAAAAAGAGTCAGAGATACTTTAGAATTATAATTTTAAAAAGGCAGAAATTTTAGAGTTCCAAGTCTTGCCACTTTTAAAGGCGAGAGGAACCTGGGTGATTAAAACTGGGAAGTACTAATACAAATCATAGATTCCTTCATTAAAGTGGGTCTTCAATTTTCCATTATATATGACAACATGGTGTCAAACATTTATGAAAAAAAAGAAAATTAGATACTTCCTCTGAAATCTTGTACTGCAATCATATGAATCTCTACATATAATAAAAGAAAGATTTTGTCTATGTGTGTCTTTTGTTTGTGCAGCGTGTAAGCTAATAGACCTACGGCTACGAAATTTTGTACATAGGTGCATCTAGACAAGAGCCAGTGCACCTTGACGCGATTTTTTCGAAATTCAAATTAGTATTATTTTTATTTTATGTTTTGTGACGAAATCGCATCATTTTGAGACATAATGGGGCTATAGGAAAACGAGATTTTACTCTACACATTTCATTTTCGCATTGTCATGAAACATAGACACTTAGCTATTTTACAAGCTTAAAATAAATTTCGTATTTCAATAAATAGATTAAATACGATTTTATTTAACAAAACGAGCTTAACATTTTTTCAACGGGATTTTTTCTAAAAAAGTTTATTTTTAAAAATGTACAGTTTATATTCTTTGATTATGGATCACGTAAAACTTTCATCTTGCGATGCTTTTAAAAAGAATTTTGGAAAAAAATTGATATATTTGTATTTTAAATAGATTTTTAATGAAGCTTGAGTCACTTCCCCATCTCACATCTTTAAAAAATTGATTTGGCAACAATTTCCTTTTATGTTTTGATAGATTTGATTGAAATCGCATCATTTGATAGTTATCTTTTAGAAATACGGGTTTTTTCGCGAACTTATTCTTATTTTTATTTATGACATTTTTCATTGCATTATCTTCATTTTATTAATATAATTTTTTTTGATTTTTTTGTTCTGTAGGAAAATCGCCGGAATTAGTTTTTGAGTTGATTTCATGTTATTTTTAGCTATTCACTGTTTTATATATTGACGTTTTGCCTGTTTTTTACTTACGGAAAGTTGGTTATTTATTAATTAGGATAAATCAGATTTGTATAAGAGATTAGCTATTTCATTGTAATTTTTCCTTGAAAAATAAGATAAAATATCTTAATTATACTTGCTTTTCAGAATTTTTTTGCTATTCTTTGTTGATCTTTCACTTTTTAAGGATATTGAAAAGTTTTAGGATTTTTAGAAACAAAGTCTAACTCCTTATACCATTTGAGTTTAAGATTTGCAAAGGAAATGGTATTATATTTATTAGGTCATAATATTGTATTAGGGATATTGTTATTTCATGTAATTTTGTTATACGTAATAATGTCTTTTTTATGAAGTTGTTCTGCAGAGTAAAATTCTGCACAGTTTTTAAATTTAACGTTTGGTGTTTGTTCCCTTCAGCCATTTTTTTCGGTACATTCAGAACCAGACGAAGGCTGGCAGCGAAGCTGCTTGTATGGTAATAAAATTAACCTTAAATGAAGTAGATGATGCTTCTATGCAGATTATATCAAATATATTATTGTCATTATTTGCTTTCTTTTTAGATATTCATATCAGGCATCAATTTTACGGGAGGGGAGATATTTTCCCTCCTTATCTTTTTTTAAGGAGTATAGTAGTTTAAAAAGATCACTATTTGAGAAGTCGGAAATAAACCTGCTTTCTAAGAAAATCATTCAATCTATTATTTTAAAATCAACATAAATGAATTCAAATTAAATATTTAAGTTAAAAATATATTTATTATTAATGTATTGCATGTGGAAATACAATTACCTTTCTAGGTGTAAAATCCCAGTTGTGAATTACCCTGGCTGGAATGACAATGAGACTGTTCCAATGGCATCGAGAACAATAAAAAAGACCATTATAATCACACAGCCTTGGCAAACATAAATCATTTTCTGCAATAAAATTACACTGTTAATGGCACAGATAACAAAAAGCATCTGAAATTTAATTATGAATATGTTAAAACAATTTTAACTTATTTGTCCATTGAATAAAAAGTGAAATATTTTCTTTTACAGGATAACACACACACCAAAGAATTTTTCAAAATACTGTCTATTGGTTGTCATTAATGTTGTCAATATGTTAGCATGACAAAGCTAACATATTGACCTTTACTGGTAAACTGAATCAGCTGCATATTCATGCATGTGCAACTTTACCTTAAATAAGTGACTATGGTTTAAGGCTGTTCCACAAGGGTGAATAAAGCAGTACCTTAGGATTATAATAATTGTGACACTAATAATGGTTAGACCATTGTGTGAATGCTCCCCAACAGACTTTATTTAAAATAAAACATCTGCAGTTCAAATAAGTTTCTTTTGAGCTACAGCAGAAAACCTAACAGCACAGTTAACTGCAGCATTTCAGAACTAAGGTGAAAAAATGTAATTGTAGCTACATTTCAAAATTTAAATCAAAACTTTTAAATTTATTGAAATTAATGGTGTCAAACTTGATAAGAGACAGTTTGGTGTTAGACTTAGTTTGAACTAGTAACACTTCAATTAATCAAAAGAGGGCATTTTCAGTATTAGAAGACATTAACGGGAACTACGAATGTTCACTGCATATAAGCAGTTACTATTAATGGTAAAAAAATTTGTCACATTCACAATTTTTAAATGGATGACATTGCCAAAATAAATGATATCACAATTAGGCTACATGAGATAGTCCAGATTTGATCTGACTTAATAGAAAGAGTGGTCCCCCCCCCAGCCAGGTGCTCTTCAGATGGCAATGTTAGTACTAGATAGCTTCTGTGGACCTCGCATGCAGGATGCAATAGAACAAATGAACAGAACAAACACCATTCCTATCATCATTCCTGGAGGGCTTATGTTATTTCTGCAAACACTAGATGCATCAGAAAATAAACCATTCAGCTACCTCAGAAACTCTTATAAAGAATGGGTGTTTGCAGAATTGCACAGTTTTACTAAAAACATAAAAATCTAGAGATCTTACACTGAATTGATTGGTTCTTAGATTTTGGGTGCCTGGGCTCTGACTGATGAAGCATTGATATTAGAGAGTGTCAAATTTCTTGATTATATATATCTGTTACAGCTTAAAGTGAAATACAATAACAATTCATTACTGGTGACACACACTACAGATACTCATCCTAGAATATAACATAAATGATGCAACTAATATATGTTGCCAAACTGTACAGGGTAAAGTTATGTTGCTACATAACATAAGAAAACTGTGCAATAGAATTAAAGATTTAGCCCTTTCAAGATAGCATGCCTTTGTTTAAGACATTCCTTCCGGACACATGGAAGTCAAAAGGAATTGTCTTATAGGATGGGAGTTCTGCACTGCTAAGCCTACATCTAAGGAAAAGAAAAAGTTTACGTCAAAATTTGTCATAATGTCATAATTTTGGTACTACTTTAGATTATTATTTAAGCTATCATACATGTTAAAATTAGCATTTAATAATCTTTTTCCTTTTTTTTACATGAAAATATATTTTTAAAAAAATGTTTACTTTAAAAAATAATTTCCAGAAGCAATATTGAAATTATTCCGAAGTTTTAATTGCTAAACTACATTAATAAACTTTTAAATTAATAAAAAAATACAAGGCAGACAATTTAGAAGAAGAAGTAACAAAAAAACCTTTCATTTAAACTGGACGGCAAACACTCAGTGAGCTCAGTAGAAATATTGCTCCTTAACTCTTTAGAAAATGAATTATCACTCATTCATATCACTAACTACTTCATTTGCCAAGCACGTATATCCTTCGTCTGATAAATAATGTTAACTCACCATAATAAACTGAAGTCAAGGTATTCCTAAATAAAAAGGGAAGTACATGAAATATAAGCGATAAAAGCAATGCAAAGCGTAATAGAACCCCACAATAGTAACAATAAAAGACCCTACATGGTAGGGGAAAAAAAAAAAAAAAAAATATTCAGATTTTACATTACACTCAAAGAGACTTTTTGTAAACCTTTTGTGCATTACCTTTATTTATTAAATGTTCTTAACTTAAACCATAAAATTCAATGCAACAGCAATATCGCAAAATAACTTAAAATGAGTATATTTTTAGAATTTCCGATATACAGCCTCGTACACTCCATATGCTTATATTCCATGGAATATTACGTTATTCAAAATTTGATGGTTGTAGGTATTGTTTTATCACAATGAAAGGTAAATGAAAGAAACATACATACATTTATGCAGATTCTTCATTATTTAATTAATTTAAATATAACGTAGGGCAAGAATTAGAAAAGTGTACCGACATTTAAAGGTTTCAACACAAAATGCCAAAATGAAACTAATAGCTCTTCTGGGCTAACGCCTTTTGGGCTAAAAGAAAATTACAAAAGGATTTGAAGTGATATCACAAACATGAATGTTTATATCACATGGTATCCGAGGTGTTTGAATTATCCTTTCGCTCCTCCCCACAACAGCTGACACAAATGTTACACAGAATATGATCTAATTAAAGGTCAAGATCCTAAAAGATTGCATCAGGTGGGAAAATGTCTATTGCTAGCTATGTGTATGATGCATTAATAAATATTAGATGAATCTTTTAAACTGTAAGTTTTCAATTTCTTTATTAATAAAAAAATCCCTTTCTATAATGCCTGCCCATGTGATAAGATCAGAAGCATTTTTGATATTTTCATTTGTTCTGTCTAATGAAAGAAGAAAAATAAAGAGAAGATTATGTAGATTCTAGTATCGAAGTAGTAATTACATTCAAATTGTGTTTGCAGGGTTCTTCCAGATGTTTCCAAAATTAAGAAAATCATTGCAAACTTCTTGTAAAATTAATTGTTCTTTCCAGATGTTTTCCCAAATTAGAAATTCATTGCAAACTTTCTGTAAAAATAACATCACTACGTGTTGATACCATGGAGACATTTTTCCATTTTGGACATATTTCTCGAATCTTCTAGAATCTAGTCTATAAATCTTGCCTTCAAATCCTTATCTAAACCACATTCAAGCTGAATGTCTAAAATCCTAAAGAAAAATTATCCCTACCATTTCTGTAAAGAAAAAAAAGCCAAGAATATGTTGTAAAAAAGTAGTAGGAGGGGGAAAAGGAAAAAGTTAAAATGAATTTTATAGAGAAAAATGAGGCACATCTGAGAATTTTGAATATTCTGAGACAATTACATGGGAAAAACTCTTATATGAAAAATTAAAAAACCAAGACATTTTAATTAATTACCACAGCTTAATTTTGGTTTGCTCACAGCTGTTTAATTAAAATTGTGTTTATAGCATTAGACCTTGTTTATTTTTCAGATGTAAAATATGTATAAGTTGCCACAATGAAAACTTTATACATGAAAGCAAAAAATAAAAAATGTTCTATTTTAATGTTATTAATATAATTTCAAATATCTAGCACTTATTTTAATAAAAAATTTATAAAGTTACGATATTTTAAAAAAATCTGTTGAAAAAATTTCAAGGATTTTGGAATAACAGTTTCTATAAGAAATTAATCTTAAAATCGCAAATGTTGAAAGTCGTAAATTGAATCGTTTAACAAAGAATTAACAATCATCAAACGCAAAAAGTTGTTTTAAGAGCTCTTACTAGAACAAAATTAATTTCGAAAGGCTTATGTTTTCACTTATTGCCTTAGAAAACTCGAGTATCCCATAACTTATATTAAAAATAGAAAACAAATTACACTCATTGAACTATTTAAAAGATTACCATTATTACGGCTGTAAATCGCCAAACAAATATTCTTCAAAAATGGCTAATTCACACTCCAAAATGACAGTTCATAAAAACAAAACAGAAATTTTAGGATGATTAAAATTAGGACTCTGTTGAATTTGATCAAAATAATTAAGGATTTTTAAGGACCAAAACGCTTCCAAAAAATCTAAGGACTTTTAAGGATCTTAAGGACTGTCGAACTCTGAATGTAGTTGTATTCTTCAAAAATTTTTGCATAATTTTTCCTCTCGATTTTTGTATGATAAAATACATTTAAAAAAGGAGTAAATATTATAATGTTTTATCTTGTCTTCCTTTTCTTCATCAGATAATTCTTAAAGAATGTGAGCAAAATCAGCTGGTTGTATATATTTTTTTGCCATGAAAACTGATATAAAAATTTACAGAGCCAAATGTTCAGATTAAAATAATACATGGCAATTATTAATAACAAAATTAAAAAATATTTGAGAAAAAATATTTCCGAATTTTCAACCCCGACGGAGCGTGCCAATTAGCACCAAAGCCAGTTAAAAAAAAAAGTCAATGAGTTACCGTTGGCACTCATCCATGATGTGGGGAGGGTAGAAAGGAGGAATAGAATGACATTCAGACATCTCAGCTTTGATATGCGAAACATGTGCATTAAAAACTGAACTTGTCATAAATTTTGTGCATACGCGTGTGCTGGAAAGGTAGTCAAGAGCAATTATTCAATTTGAAAAGATATTTCACAATTTCATCCTTCGCTGTTGTAACTTATTTTTCTTCTTCCTCTTGGTAACAACTACATTCAAGGCTTGATTTCTAACATTAGAAGCGCATAGGCCCCATTGGAGACATTCAAGTAAGACAAACAAAAATAAATATATAAAATAATAATAATTAAAATTCAGTAAAATGCAATGAGATAAATAAAAGTTTAACAAATTCAGCTAAAGATAAATAATTAACTAATAAAATAAAAACTGAATCTCATTTTACATAGGACTCAGGATGAATCAAAATTTTACGCAAAAGCTAAGAAATAGCTGAATTTAAGCCCTGTATATACAGTATAATGTGTTCTTTTGAGAAATAACAGAAATATAGATCATTCTTTCTCTAGAGCACTAATGAAAAATGTAAAACAACTGACCTGTCACTACAAAGAACAGAAAGAACAATATAGGGGAATTGAAGGAAATTTTAACACAGTAGTGTTAGTATGAAAACGAAGACAGAATCCAAAACTTTCTAACCATGATTCTCTATCGACATAATTCTGGCAGCCCAGCAAAATATGACAGGGAAAAGAATTTATGCCAAAGGTTCTGTACAAGAACCACTTACATATTTTGTTGTCATTTGGTTACACTGTTTTGAAAAGTCTGCAAGTGCTCTTTTATGTGGCAAAACCTATAGCATCAGATGTGTTTGAGTCATTTATCCTAGTATTTTATTGTGTTAAAACCGAAGCAACTTAGAACACATTTAAAAACATAAACAACAATTCCCCATTCTCTTTTTACTACAAATCAAGGTTAACTGAAATTGATGATACCAAAAAAAGAGATATGAGGGACAACCAGGCAGTTCATTTCTAGTACTTTCAGGAACAAAAATGTATGCATTCTCAAATAACATCTCATTATGACATTATATATAACTTTCACTCATTTGATTTTAATTTACATCTATCCCGTTGCCTCATTTCGTCCATGTTCACTCATTTCAGAGATTATACAAATTTGAGTAGCAAGAAGTTCAGTATAAAGTTGAGGAAGATTCTGAAACCATATGCAAGTTTGGATTTATGCTGGCTGCTTGCTCATCTAGTTTGTCACTTTATAAATACTGGCTGCCCTGTGAAAGACCAGAATTTCAAGGTACACTTGGTTGGTATGTTAAGAATTTGAGTAACTGTTAGTTGTTAATATATGACTTAGTAGCCTCTCTTAATTATTAGAAATTAAATTAGTTATCATAGATATGACACTTTTAAATGTCAGTGTTAATTTCACAGCCAAGTAACTCATAACATTGTTCGGCAATATCTCTCAATTAGCTTTCAAATAATACTTGAAGGATAGGAGCTGCACTTGAACTAGTTAAGAATTAGATACAACCCCTTGTAAATGTTACATCCTAAATTTATTGCACTTCTTACAAAATAATATTTTGCCATATTGGTTGGGGTTTTACTTTCCTTAAATGTCTCAACTTCTGTCCAAGGGTTTGTTTCCTAGAAAAAGACAAGCATGCATTCAGAAGTCAGAATCAAATTTTAAACAATAAAATTTTACAAGATCAAAATAATTTCCAACTAAAACTGTGATTCAGCTTCACAAAAGAGGTGCTAGAACTCACTCAGTCCAGTCAGGGCTTCAGTGTACTTTGGGTAAAATCACAATTTATCTAGAAAACTAAAGTGATGGAACCATACTACGGCACAATTTAACCTCTGGCTACCTTCAACTATTTTGACTCCTCCCCCCGATTCACCTAAGTTTTCAAATTTACTCAGATACTCAAGTTATTTTCCTTAATTTTCGTAATAATGTAAAATTATTATACAGTCAAAAGTCTTTAATGCAGAGTCGTCGGGACTTCGGCGATTTCACATTATCGATTTTTCCGGACTATAGATCATCAGTTTAAAT